CACCAACAGGTCACTACCCATCTCTCTCCCTCTCCTTGGGCCTCCCTATTCACTGAGACACAGCAATATCGAAATTAGGCCCACTGATAACCCTACGATGGTCTCTGTTTGTTCAAGTGAAAGAAAGTCACACACCTCTCACTTTAAATCAAAAACTTGAAATGATTAAGCTTAGCGAGAAAGGTATGTTGAAAGCTGAAATAGGCTGAAAGTTAGGTCTCTTGCACCAAACAATCAGCCAAGTTGTGAATGCAGAGGAAAAGTTATTGAAGGAAATTAAAAGTAAACACATGAATAATAAGAAAGTAAAACAGCCATATTGCTTCTATGGAGAAAGACTGTGTGGTCTGGATAGAAGATCACACCAGCCACATCATTTCATTAAACCCTATTCCAAAGCAAAGCCCTAGCCCTCTTCAATTCTATGAAGTCTGAGAAAGGTGAGGACACTGCAGAGTTTGAAGTTAGTAGAGATTGGTTCATGAGGGTTAAGGAAAGAAACCATCTCCATAACATAAAATGCAAAGTAAAGCTGCAAGTCCTGATGGAGAACCTACAACAAGTTATTCAGAAGATCTAGTTAAGATCATTGATGAAGGTTGCTACACTAAACAACAGATCTTCAATGTAGACAAAGCAGCCTTCTATCAGAAGACGATGCCGACTAGGACTTTCATAGCTATAGAGAAGTCAGTGCCTGGTTTCAAAGGACAGGCTGACTCTCTTGTGAGGGGCTAATGCAGCTGGTGACTTTAAGTTAAAACCAATGCTCATTGACCATTCTGAAAAACCCAGGACCCTTAAGAATTATGCTAAATCTACTCTGCCCATGCTCTGTAAATGAAACAATAAGATGCAGATGACAGCATATCTGTTTACAGTATGATTTACTAAATATTTAAAGCTCACTGTTGAGACCTACTACTCAGAAGAAAAAAAAATTTCCTTTCAGAATATTACTGCTCACTGACAATGCCCAAGGTCACTCAAGAGGTCTGATGGAGATATACAAGGAGATCATGTGTTTTTCATGCCTGCTAACACAATATTCATTCTGCAGGCTATGGATCAAGGAGTTATTTAGGCACTCAGGTCTTATTATTTAAGGAATACATTTCATAAGGCTATAACTATAACTGCCATAGATAGTGATTCCTCTAATGGATCTGGGCAAAGTCAATTGAAAACTTTCTGGAAAGGATTCACCATTCTAAATGCCACTAAGAACATTCGTGATTCATGGGAAGAGGTCAAAATATCAACATTGACAGGAGTTTGGAAGAAGTTGATTCCAACTCTCATGAATGACTTGAGGGGTTCAAGATTTCAGTGGAAGAAGCCAATGCAGTTGTGATGGAAATAGCAAGTGAACTAGAAATAGAAGTAGAGCCTGAAGGTGACTGAATTGCTGTAATCTCATGATCAAACTTGAATGTGTGTGGAGTTACTTCTTAAGAAAAAGCAAATAAAATGGTTTTATCTATCTATCTATCTATGTATCTATGTATCTATCTATCTATCTATCTATTTATTTTTGAGTAGGAGTCTCACTCTGTTGCCCAGGCTAGAGTAGCATACTTATGGCCACCTCAGCCATCCAAGCAGCTGGAACCATAGGAGTGTACCACCACACCTGGCTAATTTTTTGATTTATTGTAGAGACAAGGTCTTCCCAAGTTACCCAGGCTGGTCTCGAACCCCTAGACTTTGGCAATCCTCTCACCTCTGCCTCCCAAAGTGCTGGAATTTCAGACATGAGCCACCGTGCCTAGCCTGAAAGTGTTTTCTTGAGATGGTATCTATTCCTGGCAAAGATGTTATAAACATTATTGAAATGACAACAAAGGATTTTAAATATTACATAAATTGTATTGATAAAGTAACAGCAGGATTTGAGAGGATTGACTTTAATTTTGACAGAAGTTCTATTGTGGGTACAATGCTATCAAACAGCATTGCATGCTACAGAGAAATTTTTTGTGAATGGAGGTCAATCAGTGGGGGCAAAGTTCATTGTTGTCTTATTTTAAGAAACTACCACAGCCACCTCCACCTTCAGCAACCACCACCACCCTGATCAACCAGCAGCCATCAGCAGCAAGGCAAGACCCTCCACCAAAAAAAAAAAGATTACAACTTGCTGATGGCTCACATGATCATGAGCATTTTTAGCAATAAAATATTTTTAATTAAGATGTATACCTTATTTAGACATACTTTTATTGCATACTTAATAGACTTCAGTATAGTATTGACATAACTCATATATATTGTGGAACTTAAATATTCACATGACTTACTTTACTGTGATATTTGCTTTATTGCGGTGGTCTAGAACCAGGTCTGTGATACCTCTGAGGTATGCTTGTACTCTGATTCTGAGTTAAAGAAAGATTAATTGGCAGGATTTCAGCGATAACTTTGTAAAGTAAACACACATCTGTCCCCAAGCTTAATTTATAAAAATAGAGACAGGAGAAAGAAAAAGAAAGGAGCTGGTAGAGAGCTAGAAGAGACTGGCAAAAGGGGAGAGAATAGTGTGGGACCATAAGTCAGAAACTGATCTATCCCATGGAGTATCTGTACGTAGGGGCGAGTGGCCCTTAGAGCTGCTTGCTTTCTTTTTAATGATATTTGTCTGCACTCATATAGACCAAGGGTCCCCCAACCCACGGGCCATGGACCAGTACCGGTCTGTAGCCTGTTAGGAACTGGGTTGCACAGCAGGAGGTGAGCTGTAGGGTAAGTGGAGCTCCACCTCCTGTCAGAGCAGCTCAGCGTTAGATTCTCATAGGAGTGCAAACCCTATTGTGAACTGTACATGCGAGGGATCTAGGTTGTGCGCTCCTTATGAGAATATAAGCCTGATGCTACCAAATCCCTCCCCCACCACCACCACCATCCGTGGAAAAATTGTTTTCCATGAAACTGCTCCCTGATACCAAAAAGGTTGTGGACCGCTGATATAGGCAATACAGAAAACAATAAGAAGGAAACAGCCGGATGTGGTGGCATGCGCCTGTAGATCCGGCTACTTGGAAGGCTGAGGCGGAAGGATCACTGGAGCCCAGCAGGTCAACGCTGGGGTGGCCGTGAGTGTGCCACTGCACTCCTGCCTGGGAGACAGAGTGAGACTCCAACTCAAAAAAAAGGAAAAGAAAGAAACAGGAACACACACATGTGTATTGCACCCATAGTCAGAGATCACCACTTTAAGTTTCTTTCTTTCCAGGCCTTTTCTCTTTCTGTATATGTTGTAGCATGGTTGAACTCACGCTGTAGCTGCAGTTTGATACCCATTTTTTTCAACTTTAACATAATACAGTTCCCTGTGCTTTTATAAACTCCTTGTGTGTGGTTTCATGGTCGTGTGATGGTTTGTGTTGTGGATATTCTCCAGCAGGATGGACTCTTCACGGTGGTTAAGAGCACGCCTGTGAGTCAGACAGCCCTGGGCTTGACTCCCAGCACTGCCCCTCCTCCCCCATTAGGTAGCTTGGGAGATGACCTCATCTTTCAAGCCTCTGTTATTTAATCTGCAAAACGGGTGTAATAATATCACCGTCTCATAGAGTTGTCACATGGTTTAAACAAGCCAGTGCATACTGATTCCTTCTGGCTTGTGAAACCACCTCCTCCTAAGAGGACGTAATTTTATTGCTATTTATAGATAAGAAGGTTCAGCTAGATAAGATCACTTGCCCAGTGTCCACTGGTAAGAATGAAAAAAGCCAGGATTTGTAGTGATAGTCAAATTCTGGAATCCTACTTCTTGCCCACCGTGCTATCCTGCCTACTTGCGGTAATTTGATTGAGTCACCCAGCTAGTAAAGACAAAAGCTGGAATGTTATTGAATCCTACATGCTATGATGCCCTGAGAAAGTTCCTTGTGAATCTAATATTCTCTGGGTTTTACTAAAACCCATTTCTTTCCATGCCCCAGTGCTGCATCAGGACTGGTCAAGGCCAGGGCCAGTGATGGGTGGGTGCTTTTGCTGGTCCCTGCAGTAATAGCAATGTCACAGCAGTACATTTTCAGAGAGCAGAAGATTCTGTGGAACTTTTTTTTCAAATCACAAATATATGATGCCCAGAGGGGGTGAGAAGTGTCGACAGCGACATAGATGTTATGCTCAAACCCTCCCCCATTTCCACCCGTCTTTAATGATTTTAATGTAGAGATGGTTCTTCCCTTGCCCTTGGTCCCCTTCCCCTTAACACAGCTGTCCAAGAAGAGCTGGCTAGATTCTCTGGCCACTGAATCATTTGCCAAGTCCAGCCTGATCACTCCCTCCTACAGTCAATCCTGGGTGACAAGGAAATGCCTGGTTACCAGTTCAGGGATGATTGCCATTGACTGCATTGCTGCCCCCGTCACCTACAGAGTGACAGCGTGTGAGAAAAACAGTGGCTGATGCGCAGAAAACTCTGTTCCTGTTTATCACATGTGATTAGGTACAACTGGTCTGTGGGGGTGAGGGGGTCTCAAAAATGGCCTGCCAGCCTCCCTGTAGAAAGGGGCAGAAGGCTTGAAATCTGACCTGGCTGCATTGGGGCCTCAGCTTGCATTTGCTGAAGGCCCCACATCCAGAGCAGGTTCGATTTTGAGTCTTTACAGTGACTCTTTTCGAATTGCATGGTTATTCAGCAGATTAAATCTTAATTGCAAATGCAGCTTCAGCGTAGGAGTACCATTGTGCTTGCTGGTTTCAGGCCATTTTTGCTGAGCCGTGCTTTTCCAGAAGGCTGTTACAAATTTAGAAAGGGGGAAATGGCGTTTCATTTGTCGATTGGAGTTTTGTTTTCCTGACTGAATTTATTTCAGTGTTTGTTTAGAGGTGCCAAAAACTGACGTCCCTGGAGAGAGAATTGCTCAATTTTTTTGGAGAGGTTCTCTAAATTGTCCAAACTCCACATAGAAAACAATGTCTGTGGTCCTTCTGTGAGAGAACATGCTTGCCAAAAATCTCATGTGGTATAATTTTGATTAATTTTTCAGAGACCGAAGAAGCCACCTCCTCCATCCGCTCCTGTCATCAAACAAGGGGCAGGTAACGTACCTTTCAGTTCTAGCAAATAAAATGTGCATCTTTGTTTTTGCATATATTCAAATCATGCTTGGTGTAGAGCCCAAGATTCCTGATTCAAATGCCATAGATTGCCAAACTGAGAAGTTATGATTTGATCTCAGCAGGTAGATTTTAAAGATGCTGCTGTTTCTCTTAACAAATAAATGTACCATTAAAATGTAGCCATGACACAATATAAAAACCTGGGATCCCAAAAAGAATGATAAGAAAGAATTGAAAGCAAACTGGTTTTATTTGTTTTGTTTTGTTTTTTTGAGTTGGAGTCTCACTCTGTCGCCCAGACTGGAGTGCAGTGGCCGCTTCCGGCCACCGCAGCCTCAACCTACTGGGCTCCGGCGATCCTTCCTCCTCAGCCTTCCGAGTAGCTGGAATTACAGGCATGTACTACCACGCCCGGCTAACTTTTTGATTTATTGTAGAGATGAGGTCTCGCTGCCCCAGGCGGGTCTCGAACCTGCGGGCTCAGGCATTCCACTCACCTCAGCCTCCTAAAAGCGCGGGATTACAGGCTGAGTCACCGAGCTCGGCCTGGCTGATTTTTTGATTTATTGTAGAGACAAGGTCTCGCCAAGTTGCCCAGGCTGTTCTCGAACCCACGGGCTCAAGCAATCCACTCACCTCAGCCTCCCAAAGGGTTTTGTTTTGTTTTTAAATAAACAGCTTTTGAGGACCAAAGCACCTTATCATCCTGCTTTGCCTATGCCCAACTAAGGTCAGCTTGGAGGAGATTGGTTCCCACAGGACAGAGCATTGTTGTGCATGTACAATGTTGCTAAATCTGTTCTGTATGGTTAACCAAAATTTGTACTCACATCACTTAGCCCCCAACCAAAAGGATGTTTTTCTAGCAATAAATACTTTTCCTCATGATTCTCTTTTAATTTTGAGGAGTCCAATTCACTTTTGCTGTGCAGCTCAGATATTAAAGTTGAATAATATAGGAAGAATTGATGTTGTTGGACATTTGTAACTCATTGTACACTGGATTCTCAAATATAAAGATGATATTTCATATTCCCCAATAGAACAACTCTTTATAATTGTTAGAATTAATTGTGGGGGGAATTTCCTCTATGAATAACTAGTTAAGTGTCATTTTAAAGAATTAACAACTGAAACAGAAGAAGAGAAGGGGTATTTTTAGTTCTACACATTCACAAGTATGATATTTCTAGAGCATCTAAACTAAGAATAAATTTCTAGATTGGTTTATTTATAGGTTTATTACGATGTGATTTTTTTTGAGTTCTTTTGATCTACCAAGTTGGGGGGAAATCAGCTTGACCCCAGATTCTTTTCCCATTCCCTTTGGCATCCTTGAGAATTACAGAGATTAAGCCTTAAAATGGGGTGCTAATTACATCTCCTGCTCCACCCCCATTCTTGTTTGCATTGAGCAGTTTCATTTTGCCACCTAGTGGTTCTGACCATATAAATATTTTATTGTGCTGAAATTAAAGCAGGCTATTTATTTGCTTTTCTCTGAAGCCCCTTTTCTCTAGGGGCCTTGGTAACTGATCACAGCCCATGGAGATGAGTAGAGTGATTCAAGGTTCAGGCAACCTGGAATGTAGCCAGGATTGCATTCTTGAATATAGTAGGATTTTCAATTGTTTCTGTGTCTCTAGGAATGATACCGAACTTTTTCATTATTGTTAAGAGACTAGATTCTTATCCTTTTAGGCAAATTCTTATCCTTTTAAAACAATTTTACCAAAGTTTATGACGGGTCTGTGTGGGGCAAAGCAAGATGGCATTTAATTTTCATATATTACTGCTACTGCTCATTGATTCTGCTTGAGTAATCTTGGGAATGGCTTTGTATTGGGGAGGTAGATGTTCATATTTTTCCCATCATCACCTTTCCCTGTATTTGCTTATTTGACAAAAAAAAATCAGATTTGGAATTGACAGAAAGCAGATGCAGTGTTTAATTTGTAGTGAGTCATTAAGGAAATTTAAGTAAAGGATGATATTTTTAACTTATTTTGGCCTTTGAGGCTGTGTGATTGAGATTTTAGTACCAAGCACCTTAACTTTTTGGTCATGTGAAGTGTTTGTCAAGCACTCAACCAAGTCCATAACTCAACCAAGTCCAAAAGTACTTCTCACAAAAGAAGTACTTTTTTTTTCTTTTAAGTTGGCGTCTCACTCTGTCACCCAGGCTCTTACAGCCTTGACCTGCTGAGGTCAGGTGATCCTTCCGCCTCAGCCTTCCAAGTAGCTGGAACTACAGTCACGCACTACCACACCCAGCTAATTTTTTATTTGTTGTAGAGATGAGGTCTTGCCAAATTGCCCAGACTGGTCTCGAACCCACAGTCTCAGGCAATCCTCTCACCTTGGCCTCCCAGAGTGCTGGGATTACAGGCTTGAGCCACTGTGCCCAGCAAGGAGTACTTTTTTTTTTTGAGTTGGAGTCTCACTCTGTCGCCCAGACTGGAGTGCAGTGGCCGCTCCCGGCCACCGCAGCCTCGACCTGCTAGGTTCCGGCGATCCTTCCGCCTCAGCCTTCCAAGTAGCTGGAACTACAGGTGCGCGCTACCACGCCCGGCTGATTTTTTAAATTTATTGTAGAGATGAGATCTCGCTGCCCAGGCGGGTCTCGAACCCGCGGGTTCAGGCAATCCACTCACCTCAGTCTCCCAAAGGCGCGGGATTACAGGCTGAGCCACCGAGCCCGGCTAGGAGTACTTTTTATTGATTTTTGCTTTAACTATTTTCCAAGTTCTCTTACATGCCTAAGGCCACTGGTACGGATGAGGGACCTCAAATTTAGTGGCATAAAATAGCAGTCTTATGTTCACGAATTCTGTGGGTCAAGAATGTGAACAGGACATGGCTGGAATGGCTTGTCTCTGCTCCATCATGTCTGGGACCTCAGCTGGAAATACTGAACGAGCTGAAGCTGGAGGATCCACTTTGATGATGGCTGCTTCACTGACACATCTGCCTCCCCTTGGCAAAGGTGACTGGAAGACTGGGCTCAGCTGGGGCCTCTCCAGGGGAATTGACTTCTTACATGGAGGTTCAGTATTCCAGCAAACAAAACATAAGCTGCATGGCTTTTTATGACTGAGCTTTGGAAATCACATTCTATGACTCTGATTGAAGTAGTCAAAAGCCCACCCACATTCCAGGCAAGGGGATATAGACCTCACTTCTTAATGGGAGAGATAGCAAATAATCCCAGGCCATATTTTAAATCTGCTACAAAATGAAATCCAGATTCCTATGAAACTCCTTTTTATTTGTAGAGCACAGTATCTAGTGGCCCCTTATTTGTATATTTTGGTGACTGACTTGTTTCTTTATTTATACACATTCTCCATCCCCACCCACCCAGTGATTTCCTGTGACTATTTGATGCCTAAGGAAATCGGGCTTAAGTGTCAGAAAATATTATAATTTATCTTATAAATTAAGAATATATAGGCAGGCAAATTTAGTGACACAGCCAGAAATTACTTCTTTGTTTCTGAGCAGCTCATGTTTGCCAGGAAACACTTGTACCCAGCTCAGGAAAGAAAAAAAATTATTGACTTAGCTATGCCTGATAAATATTTAAATGTCAATGTGTTTAATAAATGGACAACAAAAAACATTTTCTGATCCCTATTATCCTTTCCCTACTAGGTACCACTGAGAGAAAACATGAAATTAAAAAGATACCTCCTGAAAGACCAGAAACACTTCCAAACAGAACTGAAGAAAAAGGTATGAAATCAATTCTTCATTGGCACTTCTACAACAGCAAGAGCCAAAGCTGTTGATCACAGGGCTTGTCTCGAATACCCACATAATTTGCTTTTTTCTTTGGAATATGGCGATTATAGTTTTGTTTTCATTGCTTTTAAATATCTCATTTCTAAGGAAATAGGAGAGGGTTAGGTGGCACTTTTGTAGGATCAGAATTTCTCATCAAATGAAAAACAACCAGCCCAGTTAGTCAGCACATGGGGGCTCTTTCTTAATGTCTCTGCTGTGGCCATCCTGACCACACGCTGAGTGTAAGTTCCTTGAGGGCCTAGAGTGTATCTGACTGTTCCCACCCAGCCCATCCTTCATTCCTAGAGTGCCCCAGGTTGCTCACTCACTGTTGATGGACTTGGTTTAGTGAAATTCCTATTCAGACAAACGAAAGCTCTCTTCCTCAGTCACTGATGGGTCCCTGACCCTGGCTAGCATTGTTACAATTGAATTTCCTTGTTCAGGCTTGTTGGTGGTGAGGAGGACTGCGTGGCAATACTGAGAAAAGCAGCTCAGTGCCCAATACCAAGAAAAGCAGCTCAGTGCCCAGAGTCTCTTGAGGGTGGTCAAAGTGTCATTAGCAGAGAAATAGCTTAATATGGGTCACACAGTCACACAGTCAGGTTTAAGACCGTGTTTGACTCCTACCAGTTTGTTTCTCCCAGAGAAATCTACGTGCTATGGAAGGATTCATTTTATTAGGTGCCTGAGATTTTGATTGATTACACATTTTTATGGGAAAAGTGCTATGCTATTATTATGAACAGGAAGCTGAGCAAATTCCATTTTTAAAAAGCAGTTATTTTTAAGTCACAAGAGAAATGCTGAATTAATGAATGTAATTATTTGGAGGTGCTCCTTGGTGGCCTCATGAAATTGGTGGCCTCATGTGTTGTGAAACTTAACCTTTCATATCGGCCTGCCAAAAGTTTTACCAACATTGTGGGCACTTAAGAAGCTAGTCCTGACTGGACGTGGTGGCTCATGCCTATAATCCCAGCACTTTGGGAGGCCGAGGTGAGAGGATTGCCTGAGCCCATGGGTTCCAGACCAGCCTGGGCAACTTGGTGAGACCTCATCTCTACAATAAATCAAAAATTAGTCAGGAATGGTGGCGCATGCCTGTAGTCCTAGCTACTTGGAAGGCTGACATGGAAGGATCGCCGGAGCACAGTAGGTCAAGGCTGCGGTGGCCATGAGCATGCCACTGCACTCCAGCCGACTCAAAACAACAACCAAAACCAAAAACCAAAAAACAGTTCTCTTTCTTTCGCAGTGAGCAGTTAGAACTTGAGTTGTGGAACCTCATGGTGAAGGCCAGGCCTGTATTTTACAGAGCAGTGAAAAAAATAGCTAATGAGTATATACCATATGAATAGCACTTTGATAAAAATGTGTTGGAAAATAACCAAACACCATCCTCTGTCCTTATCAGGGATATATGGCAAGTTTCTGGGTAATAGCCAGGCTCTGTGATGAAGGCACACCCTGCAGTAGTCCATGCTGACTAACATACAGATACAGCTTATGTGTGAATAGCCACCCTAATTGACTGGCCAAGTGGCCCCACACTCCTGTTTTCTATCCCTCCCATGTTCCCTTGTTTTATGCCGCAGTGGGTTAGGGAGGCAGAGGCCCTGGTCAGAAGCAATAGGGAAGCTGGGAATCAGCTCTGCCCTAAGACTTGGCCTCCCTGCTGGGTCAGCACAAATCCAGTCTCCCATTCATTCTCAGACTGCTGGAGTTCATGTCCCTGTCCCCATCCTGCTGCCCAACAGGAGAAATTTCCCTCGTTTGACTGAGCCTTTCCTCCTCAGGTCCCTATGTGCCAAAAAATTAGTTCCCAGTGTTCCTGATTAAAGCAGTCCTGATTGGAGCATATTTCCCCACAGAGAACATTGTGGGGATGAACATAGTGATGCCTGTATAATACCTGATGAGATTTCTAACACTTTTGCCAATCAGCCTGGGCACCCAAACCACATGAATCTGTGCTTGCAAGTAAAAGGTGTTCTGACTACCATCTTACAAATAAACACAGAAAACCTATCACTACTCCCATGGGCAACTCTCTGAAGTTCCATCTTTGTCAAGAGGAGTATGGATGTATACTTTTTACACCACACACAGGATATTGTAAGTTGGGAACAGGAAACATGAAGCTATGACTGAGCACTGCCCACTTGGGCCACCAGATCTGGCTTCAATTTCATTCTAATAGTTTTGACTCCAAAAAGCCTTGGAAACCGAATACCTAGAAAATCCCAGGATACCTTCCAAGTTCAAGCTGCACAAGAAGAATCTAGAACTTGTTGTTCCCTAAAACACTCCCCCTTTTATTGGCTTATGGCCCTTTTCAAAGGCCAACCTGAGAGATGTCGGGTCTCTTTCCTTCCTACACTCAGCAAGTCCTATGGACCATTGACCAAACCATCACCTGTCTACTGAGCAATGGCTATGTGCCAGTGCCACACAGGGCTCTAGGGAGAGGACCAGACATGAGCCCTGCCCACAGGGGGTGTCAACACGTAGGCTACGCCAAACATGCAAACACCAGAAATTGTCTGAACAGAGATGGTTAGAAAAGGGCGTCCCTGTATTGCTCAGGTGAAGAAGGAAGGAAGTGTACCTTCAAGGGTGGGCCCAGCTGTTGAGAAGGGAGTATGACAGTATCACATTTCAGCCAGGCTTCCAAGGAGGAGCTGGAGCTTGTGGAGGGTGGGCAGTGGCCAGAAGGGCACTCCAGGCAGAGTGACCAAAATGAGCAAAGGCGTGCAAAAGAGAAAACAGTGAGGTCCATAGGGCTTTTTAAAACTCGAGAAAGAGTAAGTGGTGCTCTTTGCCTTCCAACTTCACCTTCAGAAATGGCATCAGTGATTTTTTTTAAAGCAAGGAATAACCAATCTGTATCTAAGTACTGTCACTTATACTAGATCTATGTTTTCTTTGTGCTTTTTTAAACAATGATTTAAAGAAAGACCAGAGAGAGAGCCAAAACTGGATTTACAGAAGCCCTCCGTTCCTGCCATACCACCAAAAAAGCCTCGGCCTCCTAAGACCAATTCTCTCAACAGACCTGGCGCACTGCCCCCGAGAAGGCCTGAGCGACCAGTGGGTCCGCTGACACACACCAGGTACTGCCTTGCTCTGCTGTTGGGGTTGGCATTGGGCCACCATGGGACACAGGAGGGGATCTGAGTTCCACAGACCGAGAGAGGGAGAGGAGAAGGGGAGGATCAAACTTCCCTCTTACATCCTCTAACAAAGTTGTCAGAAGATGCCAGCCATGTCTATTCTTGCTCCTGCGCTTGGGTAGAAGAGGAGGGATGTAGTTTCAGGATTAGCAGATGAGGACTGAGTACCCAGTATCTAGGCCCTGCTCACAGGGATTCTTCCTGGGCTTGTGAGAGCAAGGTCAGCTGCCCTTCAGTCTGGAAATGCCGGTGGCACATCCCCCTTTGTCCCTCTGGATGTTGTGCTGGCCTCAGGTATGTACATCTCCCGTGTGGCTATGTCCTCTGACCCTCTCGCTGCTCTGCGGAGCTTCTTTCCACGCCCCAAGCTCCCTCTGCTCTTCATTGTACAGTCTACTGTGGGACCCAGGATCTGGCACGGCAGATAGTTTTTTTTGTTTTTTTGAGTTGGAGTCTTACTCTGTCACCCAGACTGGAGTGCAGTGGCCACTCCCGGTCACCGCAGCCTCGACCTGCTGGGCTCCGGCGATCCTTCCGCCTCAGCCTTCCAAGTAGCTGAAACTACAGGCGTGCACTACCATGCCCGGTTGATTTTTTGATTTATTGTAGAGATGAGGTCTCGCTGCCCAGGCGGGTCTCGAACCCGCGGGCTCAGGAAATCCACTCACCTCAGCCTCCCAAAGGCACGGGATTACAGGCTGAATCACCGAGCCCGGCTGGCAGATAGTTTCTTAGTGTACATGTCTCTGAGCTAGAAATACCCACAGAATTTAGGGACATGCTTTATTCAGGCATGTGTTCTGAGATGTGCTTGATGAAACTAAAATGACTGGATACATGTGTTAGTAATGTGAAACTGGAGTTGGACATTATGTAGTCCAGATCTGAGATGCCTACCACAGAGCAAGAGACTGTTGAATTCTCGCCACAAGTTCATTGCCAGAACTTTCTACCACAACATACATGTATTATACATGTTGGTTTAGCACTCTGGGGTGAGTCAATGATGCAGAGGTCTTTAGGTGTACCTGTCAACACACAGTCACTCACTGAATTTTTGTTCGTATGAACTAAGTTTGCATGGCGAGAGCCACATGAGGCTTTGGAGCTCCCGTGTTGGAGTCACACAGGCCTCAGACTCGAATCTCAGCTCATCTCACAGGAGTAGTGTGAGCCTCAGCAAGTCACTTTCCCTGTCACCTCACTTTCTCCATCTCTAAATTGAGGATGATAATGGAATGCACCGACATAATTCTCAAGTCTGTAGCCCCATGCTTATAAATCAACATTATTTTCATTGTCACTTTTATTATTGCCTGTTGAACTGGGTATACTACGAAAAGCTCATTTACTTAATTTTTTAAATTTGTGGTAAAATACACATAGTATAGAAGTTACTGTCATAGCCATTTTGATTGAAACGTTCAATGGCATTAAGTACATTCACATTGTCGTACAACTGTTTCCAGAATTCTTTTCCTCGTATAAATCTGAAATTCTGTACCTGTTAAACACCTTCCATTCTCCTCCCCACAGCCCCTGGTAGCCACCATCTTCCTTTCTGTTTGTGGATTTGGCTGCTCTAGTGGAATCATGCAGTTTACAACCTTTTACGACTAGCTTTGTTTCACTTAGCATGATATCCTCAACATTCATCCATGCTGTAGCATGACTCATTTGCTTTTAATAACAATGATACCAAAAGCACCCCCTGCCTCCCACCCAAATATAGAGGCAAGTTGAGATGGGTGGTTGATAGATATCAGAGTCTCAGTCAGTGGTATTGGACACACATGTGCCTGTGTGGAAGGCCAGCTGCCCAGCTGGCATGGACCTGTAGTCATCTCAGCTGCATGTGAGCCCATCTGGATAGCAGCTGGTTCACCTGTGTCATTCTCCAGGCATCCTCCAAGGTGCTGGCCAAAAACTGCCTCTATGTGATGCCCCCTGTTGAATTGGTGAGGCCTCACTCTGTCACTTCCTCTCCTAAGGACTGATAGTAGAAGGCGCTTTGCACATGCACATAATGGGGCCACTTGACAGTCCCAATTACCCTAGCAAGGACCATTTCAGTGGTGTGGTTGGCCCAGAAGCTAATCAGAAGAAAAAGGTTACAGAAACCTAAGTGTGAAAAGAACGTGAGCTATATACAAGCAGAGAGAAGGTATGGAGCCGTCAGGGCTGCACACACTTCGTGGTGGGGAAAGGAGAACCAGAACCACGCTCTGCCAATTTCTATTAATCTTCCAGGGACTAGACATATTTCAATTAGTTTAATAAAAAATTCCAAAATTTCCTGTTGTTCTTTCTAACAATCTGATTGGAAGAGAGGTGGAATTCCGACTGCATCTTTGCCTTCTAGAGTTGCTCTTAATCCTCTGGTGATGGGACCGGTGCGGGCTTTGCCAGCCTGGGGGAAATGTGTCATCATAGCTGAACTTCTGGACTCACAGAGGTCCCATTTGCCTCCTGCCTCTGCTTAGCTCTTCTCTGCTTCCAGCTCTCCCAGCATCCAGTTGTCAGGAGTACAGTCCACCAAGGAAGCTGCACGAGAGGTGTACCTGTCCAGAAGCCAGTGGTTGTAATGCTGTGTGTGCCATCTGAGCAGCCTGGGAGAGAGTAACCAGCCCTCATTCCTCCCTCACCCCATGGCTGCCCAGCCCCCAAGACGCTGGTTTGCGGAAACAGGGGGCTGCTCTGGGATTCCTCCTCAGCCAGTTTAAGAGAGAGCAGTGCTTGCTCTAGCTCAGTGGTTCTCAAATTTGAGCATGCCTCAGAATCATCTGGAGAGCTCACTCAAAACAGATCACTGGGCCCCATCCCTGGAGTTGCTGACTCAGTAGGTCTCAGTTGGGAATTTATATTTCTTTTTTGAGTAAGGGTCTCACTCTGTTGTCCAGGCTGGAGTGCAGTGGCATGATCGTAGCTCAGCATAGTCTTAAACTCCTGGGTTCAAGTCATCCTCCCGTCTTAGCCTCCCAAGTAACTGGGACTATAGTCGTGTACCACCACGCTCGGCTAATTTTTTATTTTTTGACAGACAGTATCTCGCTATGTTGCCTAGACTTGTCTTCAACTCCTGGGCTCAAACAATCCTCTTACCTTGGCCTCCTAACGTGCTGGGATTACAGGTGTGTGTCACTGTGCCTGGCCTGGAATTTACATTTCTAACAAGCCAGGTGACGCTGTTGCTGCTGGTGGAGTCCACACTGTGAGAACCACTGCTCTAGGTGCTTCCTTCCCTGGCTGCCTCTTCAGTGCTTGTTAATGCTCCCGACTTGAGAGCCCGTTAGCATGCCCTCCTCTGGAAACCTTCCCTTAGCTCTTACGATTGCTCTCTCCTCCAAATGCCTGCCACCCCATGTTTAGCCTAGTGCTGGGGCCCATGCTGTGCTACTTGGGATGCACACACCCCCGGACTCCTTCACCAGATTTAAAGCAGATCAAGAGTGTGTTTTGTCATCTCCACATGCCTTACGGTGTTGAGCATATGGTAGTGGCTCATTTAACAAACACTTGTTGAATGCCATGGTTCCTTAAAAAGGGGGAGGTGCCAGTGCTTATATTTTGTTCAATTTTGCCTCTCCTGCCATCCTTCCCAGCCTTTATACAAGCTCTGTAGCATGTGTGTCTTACATTCTAGGTCACCTGGTATGCCACGTATTGCAACATCTAAAACAAATTTAAAAATCAAAGAAAGGCTTATTGTTCCTCAGTACTTAAGGCACTTCATATTTTTTTTGCTGAGCAACTTACATTGGACAACCAACCCATATATTGGTGTATGAACTTGTTTTATTCTACCAAATTGGCAGAGGCAGGAATGTTAACTTATTCAGACAGTTTTGTGTCAGTGGTCCTCTAGAGAAAGGATGTTGTGTTCTGCATTAACCTAAATCTTCACCAGGATTTACCTGATCGAGTAGGTGGGTGGACAGACAGACGGTTGAACACATGGACACACAGTCACTGTTTGCAGCGCTCATTGGGAGCCAGGCGTTGCTGCTCCAGCCGCAGCGTCCAGGCTCATGCTGCTTCTCACCAGCCAGAAAGCTTGCTGCCAAATGTGGCTTTTCAGAAGAGAATGATTTCTTTCTCTTTAAACATGAGCTAGCAACTTCGAGAAAAAAGGGAGCACTGTACATAAGCTTAGGGAAAGCATAGTCTCTTTAAGATACATTCACTTAATGAAAATGTGTTGAGGGACGCCTGTGTGCAAAGCACTGTTCTGGACCTTAGTAATGGTAGGACTCAGGTGTTCAGTTCACAGTTTTCAGGAATGAAATCTAGGAGAACGAGAATGACACCAGTGAGCAGTTTGTGTCCAGTCTGAGCAAGTAGAAGCACGCATTAAGGATCTCACAGTGACTGCTCTTTTCCTCAGACATTAACACACTTGATCGTTGGTAAGAATGATCAGGTAGATTATTCCATGCTGTGCTACTTGGGATGTGCACAAGTAGCCAGGCATGATGACTCACACCTGTAATCCTAGCACTTTGGGAGGAGGAAGCAAAGAGGATTGCCTGAGCCCAGGGGTTCGAGACCAGTCTAAGCAACTTGGCTAGACCTCTCTACAATAGATCAAAAAATTAGCTGGGCACAGTGGCGCACGCCTGTAGTTCCAGCTACTTGAAAGTAGTTCCAACTACTTGAGGTGGAAGTATTGCCTGAGCCCAGCAGGTCAAGATTGTGGTGGTCATGAGCATGCCACTGCTCCAACCTTGGCAACAAATTGAGACTTCGACTCAAAAAAAAAAGGCTCTTTCTACTTCTAGAAAGTAAGCTAATATGGAATTATAACAGGAAAAGAAGTCTTAACAAATGTAATATCAGGATTGATTTAAAAATTCAATGATAATAATGGGGATTCCCCTGGGCTATAAGTGCCTCCTTGGCCGGGTGTAATCCCAGCACTTTGAGAGGCCAAAGTGGGAGGA